GTGCGCCCGGCGGCGGGGGCCCCAGGCCTGCATGGGCGCCTGCAGCCGCTGCCGCGTCCCCCGGATCCGCGGGTTTCCCCCTACAGAACAGGAACTGCAGGGGGAAGGGGAGAAATAGACTTTGTTTCTGCTCTCTTTTTCCTGGAGCGCTGGCGTCTTTCCCGAGCGTAAGGCTCTCCCGGCACTCCTGGGGACGGCCGCGGGGGAAGCAGCGTCCTCTGAAGTTAGCTGTAACGACAGACGCTTTTGTCTGGGGCACGGGGGAAGTCTGGGTCATCCTCCAAAAGGCCTTTTAACTTCGCCGCGACAGTCGCATCGCCGTCGAGTCTCCCGCCGCAGCCCGGGGCGTGCGGGGGCTGGGCGCCTCCGTTGGCGTTCAGGGGCTGCGCTGCAGGGTGGGAGCAGTGGCAGAGCCGCCCTAGAGCTTACGCCGAAATCTGTGGGGATGGGTATTGTTTTGGGGGGCAGCAAGAGATTCATTTAACCAAAATACTTACCTGTGTAACTTTTCCTGACTTTTTAAGACCTTGTATTTCTTCTGCTCAGAAAATCCCATTCTTCTGTAATCGTCTTGATGCAGATTGAGGTTACGTGCGAGGGCACGGAACATAATTGCCGGATACTCCTATTTGCTGGAGGCTGTGTTGTATACAATGTACAGTAACTTCAAGTTTTTGAGATCTGGCCTAAGCTAAACCTGGACACTGCAGCAGAAGTGCTGCTAATCCTGGGGCAGAGCAAAGGGGGGTGTGTAGAGGGGACAGAGATGCTTTTCCTTCTCTGTTTCTAAGGCTGGGTGGTTTGCGTCCCGCAGGATCCCAGAGTCCTGGACAGCATGCTCCCGTACCTGATGGCCTACTATGGCAACCCCCACTCCAGGACCCATGCCTATGGCTGGGAGAGCGAGGCCGCCGTGGAGAAGGCGAGGCGGGTGAGTCTTCGGCTCTCCGCAGTCGTAGTGGTTTTCCTGCTGGCGAGGAAATTCAGTGTCGAAAGAAAATCAAAAGCAATGATAGAACTGTTGTAGTTAGTTCTCTGTGGACTGGATTTAGCAGCTTCCTCTTTGCTTAGCTATACTTTAGCAGATTTATTGCAAGAAAAAATAGTGAGATTAGAGCAACTGAAATGGCAGAAACCAATACTTTAGGCAAAGGTGCCTCAGGATTTTTGGTTTCCTGAGGTCACAAGCGTGCTGCTGCAGTAACTGGGCTAACTTCCTATTTTATCATTCTCCTAATCTTAGGTATGTGTCTTTGTCATTTTTTTTGGAAGTAATATGTACTGGGTTTTTGTCTACTTAACTTTCATGTTCTTTTATGACAGGCTAATGCTTAATACCACTACTGCTGATGACTACGAATTCCTTATGTATTTTGTATTAATGCAGATATTTAGACTATTGTACCTGTAGCATAACTTTGGTAGATACTAGCTGTAATCCTTTCGAGGCTCAAGGGGGTATTCTTGAAAACATTTTGCATGTGTTTTGCTATGGTGAATTAATTGTATTTTATCTTAACAAATCAAATTTATATTTCTTTTTAAACAGCAAGTTGCTGATTTAATAGGAGCTGATTCAAGGGAAATTATATTTACCAGTGGTGCAACAGAATCAAATAATATGGCAATTAAGGTAAAAGGTTTATATTGATAGTTAGTTATTACGTTAAAATTATGCTCTTAAGAACTGTATGCATCTTTCAACAGTTTAAATGTTAATATGTTGGCCTAGTTAGCAAATATTTGCATTCCTGGATTTAGTCCTTGTGGTATTCTGCTACATACATGGAGGAAATACTGGGATGTTTTGGTGCCCAGGACATGGTTTTGAGGACAGAGTGTCATACTCAATGTTTAGTTTACACGCACCAAATACAATCCTTCTGCTTATGTAATTAAAATCTTTATCATGAAATGTAGTGGAGATGCTGATTACAAACTCTCTTATGACTAAGACTAGGTAGTGTTTTAACCTTTAGTATGTGGTTGTTCAGACTTTTCACTGTATATGGCTCCATTGCAAATGTTTTTAAAAAGTATTTCTGTTAATACTGTCTAGAACTTATATCAGTTAACATTTCACAGGCTTTTTGAAAAGTGAGATGCTTTGAAAAATGAGTGCTGATGGAAATCTGTAGTGTGAATTACATGTCAGTACCTTTTAGATTCGTGACTTTGGGGCAAACAGGGAAGATCCATATGAATTATATCTAAATAGTAATTTCTTGTTTCAGATAATTTTGTGTAAAGCTTGCTTCTTCAGTGGTCTAACGGCAAATTTCTTGTTCATTGATTGTGCCTGACAGGGTGTTGCAAGGTTCTATAAATCCAGAAAAAAGCATATCATTACTACGCAAACAGAGCACAAGTGCGTGTTGGATTCTTGCCGTTCCTTGGAGACAGAAGGTTTTCGGGTCACGTATCTACCTGTTAAAAAAAATGGGCTCATAGATTTGAAGGTAGGTTGTTTACTGACAGAAACAAAGTGAAAACAGAAGAGGTTTTTGCTTCAAATTGATGCTCAAGAGGACCTTGTGTCCTCTTGATGATAAAGAGGAAAAGATGGTAAATATCACAAGGTAGAATGAGAGTGACAGTCAAATCTCCATCACAGCTGGAGAAGGATTTTCTGTTCTCTCTGGTGCTCTAGACTTTTTCTCAACCAAAACATCCATTTCTCATCCCACTGTTCACCTGCTGTCATTCATACCCATGCAGGTGGAGCTGTTGCATACCCTGTAGAGAGCGCAGTACATGACTAGGATGGAGCTGGCTTTGATACAGGAGTTAGGGGTGAAATTTCATGACCTGAGCTACTCAAGGCATCAGACACAGCGATTACAATACTCCCTTCCGATTGCTGTCCATGAACTGACCCTTCTGGGTGTACTGGCCGCATCCTGGGGTTTAGAAGTTGTATATGCTTATTTCATCGTTTGTGTCCAGTAATACAGGACAGTATCAGTTTTATTTCTAGCCCCGTCATCTGGCTTGGAGAAATGTTATGTGTATGTGGTGGGGTAGAGGGACCAGGCCTGCAGGCGCAGAAGCGTTAGTCATGTTCTCAGAGAACTTTGCTGGCAGACTCCTTCTTTGCATGATGCTTTCTTGTATATAGTGCAGTTCCTTTATAGCCAACCTCACTTTGTCTAGATGTGGCTTCAGCTGTTTTGTGCGTGGTTAATTCATTAAAGAAAATAGATCAGAGGAATGTATGAGACATAGCAAAAGCCTGTTCTGACTTGATTTAATCATGTCAGGTGGCACGGTGCATACCAGGGTTAGGATGCAGAAATGCAATTGATCACGCTCCTCTTCCTACAGGAATTTTGTGTTCACGTGGATTAGTGCTCTCACCAGGACTGTTTGTCAGAACCCAAGGGGTTTGTTGGTTATACACTAGTTAGGGTGGTTAAGATTTGCTAGCAAATTGAAGGTGTGCACAGGAATCTTGCTTCCGCTGTTAATAACAACTTCTGTCTGTTTGAATATTTCACCAGGAGTTGGAGGCTGCGTTCCAGCCAGATACAAGTTTGGTTTCTGTAATGACTGTGAATAATGAAATAGGAGTAAAGCAGCCAATTCATGACATTGGTAAGTACACCATGGCTTCCAGAGGTCGGCTAATGTCGCTTCTGCTTCATTTTACTTAATATTTTCATAGCCGAGTGCTACTGATGCAAAAGGTTAGGTGTAGTATAGTTAAGGAATAAATAATAATGCTGTCCCAGATAAAAACTTATAAGGGAAGTGAGGATGAAATTCAGTAGCAATTATAGCCTTGTAGTACAGATCAGCTGCAGTGTTTCTAGTTTCATACTGAGTTGTACGATGGATGAAAAAATTGCGCAGAATAACTGGCCAAATTGAGTTTACATACTATAATGGTTTATTGAGCACTTGTAGTGTTTAAGAGGAGAAATGTGCAGAATTTGGGGCGGGAGGGTATAGTGAGCACCACACTTAGACACCCCTTCCCCCCAATATTGCCATATACAGTCATGAACAATTGGTTTGGAGGTCAAAAGGCCACTGAAGAGCCAGGTTTCTGGAACAGGAGGCAGGGAGAGGGTGAACCAGGCTCTGAGCAGGCAGATGGAGGGACAGGGACCTCAAAGCAGTCTGGCAAAGCAGGTGAAGGGAGAGCTGGACAACCAGGGTTGTTGGAGCAGGCAGGGTGAGCAGGTGGCCCACATATGCAGCTCCCTGGATCCCACCATGATTCCTTGATAATGTTTCCCATGACAGTGACAAAACACACACCCACCCCCGCCCCCTTCATATTCAAGGTGCCGTTCATAAGATGTTTGAATTTTTAGACAGTTTTTAGGCTTTGGCCTCTGCCCTGGAGTTTATACTGCATGGTTCTGGAGGGTATTGTTTTCCCAGGCTGTGGCAGGCATCTTACCCTGTTGCGCAGCTGATTTTCCTCTTGCTTAGCTGCTGCATTTTTTTTTTCTTTATTATGCTTAGAGCAGCATTTTCCCCAAGGCTCTTCAGGTTATATTTCTTCATTGACAAGTAATTGACCATCAGTGAGTTGCTTATAGGCCTGAGGACTCTGTTTTCCTCCTGTGCTTATATTGTCGAGGCCGTTACTGTTGTCCCACGCTTAAATGCCAGAGAAACCTGGTACCAAGCTCTGGTTCCCACAGTAAGTTCTCATAGCACCTTGATAACAGGTCTAATAGACCAGGACTGGGGCCTTGCAAGTTAACCTAAGGCCCTGTTAGCGTGAGGCCTATGGCCTGATATTAGCAGCAGCGATGCTGTTCTTGCTGGACCACGGGAGGACAACTGTTCCTGTAAAAGATAATGCTGAACTTGTGCAAAGGAGAGGTCTGGGATGCAACTGTGCTAGGTATGGATTCTGTGGAAGATGCGCTGTAAGTTTTTTGACGACAAAAATAAATAATATTAAAGTTCACTGCCCATGAACATCACATTATTTTGTCCCTTAGTGTATTTTAGCTCTGGATGCAAAAACATTGATTACAGGCTTGAGTGACTTCAGGTGGTAGTAATCAGCGTGTGTGAGGACTAGTGACAATTCTGAGAACATTTTTGAAGCTGAGTATTGCAAAACTTGGAAAACAGAGCAAATGGCATAAAAATACTTGGCAAGTATAAACTTGAAAGTAAGCCTGGCTTGTACTGGACTAGTGTTGAGAAGAAAAAGAATCAAGAAAAAAAATTTTAATTTTTGTCCAGCTGTGGAGTCATCCCTGTGGGGAAAGTTGGATGTCCTGTGCAGCCATTTGAACTTGAACTTGGTAGGTGTGGGTTTGGAAACAATCTCACTTCTTAACAGCAGAAGACTTTTTAACTTCTCATCTGAAGAAATTCACTGTAGTCTTACCTGCTGACCTGCCTAAACCTATGCCCAGCTAGGCGTTAGCTAGAATAGCTCCTACAGAGCTTTAGACACTTTACGGTAAAAGAAACATGACAGCACCCATTTCTTCCTTTGTCACCTCAGAACTGGTCCCTGCTATAAACTGATGCTTTACATTCGTTGTTGCAATCATTGGAATCATAACGATTAGATGAGATAATGTCGGGGTTTTCGCTTTTGTGTTTTTATTACAGGTGAGATCTGCCGCGCACATAAGGTTTTCTTCCACACAGATGCCGCACAAGCAATTGGTAAAATTCCTATGGATGTCAACAACATGAAAATTGATCTAATGAGCATCAGTGGCCATAAAATTTATGGGCCCAAAGGTACTTACTGAAGTGCTTTTCTAGAGAATTGTTTCCATGCCCACCTTAAGGTAACTACATAAGGTATGAAGTCAAACCTGTCTGTCATAGTGACTGTTACTGAAACTGTAGAAAACCAGACTAAAGTCTGGTATTGGACTGACTTTGGAGTAGTTCAGGCACTGCTGCCAGACTCAGAGCTGCAGTAAGTGGATCTTCAGTGCTGATGGGTTGTGAGGTGGCTTCACCGAAGGAAGAAACAGTATCTTATAATGGTGGCAGCATTAGGAGGAGTGGCTTTTCAGGAGTCATCTGCTTGGTGTGAAGCAGCATTGATGCTGAAAAGGTTGAAATGAAATCACTGGGTTATAGGGCAAAGTTTAGACCCGAGTGTAACTTGCAACGAGGAGATCAAAAGGTAACTGCAAAGTTTAAGTTCTTAGTGATTTTGGTTGTCTTCTACTTCCAATGGCTTCTTTCCCCCAACCCTGTTTGTGCATCTTCTTTGCAGAATGGGTTTTAAAATCCAGCTATGGATTTTCTAGTTGACTCCCACATAGTAAAAGTTCAGCTATTATCACTGTCATGGTCCATTTAGTTTGTGACACTGGATTTAGAAAGACAGAAATCAGGTTTGCTGTATTCTATGTGCTATTCATAAACAAAAGGCAAAATTATTATTTTTTTCAATATGTCTTCTTTTTCTGTACGACCTCTCCTGAGAGCTGCAGACATATCTCTGGACGAGGACGAAGTTTTCAACCAATAACTTTGGGCAGGTGACAGACATAAGTTTTCACAACTTATTATGACCAGAAGCTGCAACCATTCTTCCTGTGGTGACAGTCACTCGTTAGGTATGCCAAGGCACATGAAGACACGGAAATCAAGTTTCTAGGTGAGGAGACTAGAGAGTGAAATTAGCTGGCTGTCAAAACTGGCTCATCTAATCTGCCCGTTGGAAATTGGTGTCACTGATGAGTCTCCCTAATAAGATGAAAGGGAGAGGACTCCTGGGACTGGTGCTAGCCTGGTAGTCCAAGGGAAAGGAGTTCTTCTAGAGCTTTCAGTTGGAAGTCAGTAAGGGAACATCAATGAATGAAATATCTGCACGTAAAAGCTTCAGTGCAAAGGGATGAACTTCAGCTGTGCACAGGAATTGTGAGAAGTAGGGGAAGTACTGAGTCCTTAGATGGCTGAAGCACACCGGGAAAAACTGAGCTTCTCCCATTCCCCTGAACGAAGAGGAACGTGAATGGTGGGAACAAACACCATTTCCTAGAAAATATTGTGCTTCTGTATGTGTTCACTACATTTTTCTCCAGTGAGGTGTCCAAGTGTGTGTTTGCTGTGGAAATAAGGAATGTTTCCAAACCTTGGAGTCCCTTTTCATAATTTCAGAGCTGTGGGTGTATACTAAAACAGCTTTCCTTGTTTTCAAGGGGTTGGTGCTATCTATGTTCGCCGTCGACCGCGCGTCAGGCTAGAACCCCTGCAAAGTGGGGGAGGCCAGGAGAGAGGACTGCGGTCTGGAACTGTGCCCACTCCTTTAGCAGTGGGCCTGGGGGCAGCATGTGAAGTGGCACAGCAAGAGATGGAGGTATGTGGGAGAAGATATTTGTCCCGGATTCCAGAAAATAAGGTAACAGGGCCAGTTAGGTCTTAGATTCCTTAGGTCTTTTTCTGTCCATGTGCCTGAATTAAATTTGATTCTCATGCTGTAACATTAAGTAAATGTTCTGAGATTTTCAAGGATGTTTTTGGGTAATTGGAAGTTGATTTTCAGCTTTCTTAAGTTTCTTTTTTCTTGAAGTGGTTTGAATCATGGTTTTCTACAACAGGTCTACAGTTGACGGTTTTAGTGAAATAATGGCTTTTAAGTGCTTGTACTCATTTCTCCATTCTGCACACATGTATTAGCAACACCTCTGAAATGGAATAAATCATGTTTATGTAATGTATATTGAAAAAAATAAGACTTCCTAGGCCATTATCATACCTATTAAATGCATATAAGTTCAAGTTTACTGCAGCTTTGCAACTAAGAATTTACTTTTTTTCCGAGCTTGGATAGTAAAGTTTATTTGTTAGGTCTGGTGTCTAAGCCTCTGTGTGCTGCTGTATCTGTTTATGGGCACCAATGCATTCCTTACAGCTGGATTGTAAAAATCCTTTAATACAGTGCCAATGGGATGCATAAGCCAGATATCTGTACACATAGGATCCAGCCTTTTCCTGGGAGACAGGCAGAGATCCACCATCTGAGCTGGGTGGTTATGGAAGCCTTGTCAGAGGCTGGAGAGCCTGCAGAGCCTGAATTCTGCACGAGCCTCAGATCTGGATTCTCTTCCTCGCCTGGCAGAGTTTTGGCGTTTCTAAACCAAGTAATATTTGAGATAGCCTTGTTTTCTTCTAAAGCTTTTTCAAGCGTGTAAACAAGCATGAATTGCATGTGTGCGTCTGGCCATTCTGTGCATCAGAGGTGATGCCATACCGTACTGCTTTTTTAGTGTAAGTGACCTCATTTTTTAGTCTACAAAGAGAGAGACACTGCACGTGGGCAGTTCTCATTGCGTAGGTTACATGTTGTAAAAGCTGAGTTCACAGTAATTTGTGAGTCTGTGTCTTTATGTATTACAGTTTGAGAGCTCCTAGGGAAATAAGGGGCACTTACCATAACAGATGCCCTTTCTTGTGTTGCAAAATGCGTTATCTTATGCATTACCTAACTTGTCTTTAAAAGCACTGAGTTCTTTGTGTTTATGAAAGCCAATGTGGCAGCTTGTGTATATAGATCTTTCTGAATGGTTTGGAATATTTTTGAAGGCTGAGCTAGCTAGGACCAAACTGGTAATTCTCTTTTAAAACAGTCTCTAGAGTAGGCAAAGTTTGACAGTTTCTTTTTAAGTTTTGGATGTGTTCTTTCCCTAGTCTAACCAAACCCAGCTACTTCAGTCTGCTCATGGCTGGTGACACAAAGCAGTTTGAGTGAGGTCAAAGTGTGCACTGTTTATTATTTTGGACTCTTTTCTGGTTTCTTTGCTAGTATGACCATAAGCGAATCTCACAACTGGCAGAGCGACTGGTTACAAAAATAATGAGTGAAGTTCCTGATGTGGTTATGAACGGCGATAGAGAGCATCGCTATCCAGGTAACATTAGCAAATTCCTGAGCCCGTTAGAACCGTCTAGCTCCTCAGTGTTGATGGCCGTGATGTAATAATGCACTTTAGCTACGCATAGTGCGAGTACTGCCACGTGGGGTAGGATTTGCCCTAGATTTCAGTTGACGGAAGTTTTTTTTTTTCTATTTCATTTATTTCTATGTAGGATGCATCAATTTATCTTTTGCGTATGTGGAAGGGGAGAGTCTTCTGATGGCTCTGAAAGATGTGGCTCTGTCTTCAGGAAGGTAGGTGGGATGTGTGGGAAGGGTAGCAGTATATTTGGGAGAGAAAATAACATCTGCTAATGGAGGTACAAACTAAGGAGTGGTCTCCTCTGTGCCCCATATTTGCACATTTGGTTAATGAGTCAGCCTGGCGTTGATTGCATTCTAAGATGGCGTTTCTCTGAAGTGGCACATTTCAAATTAAGGTCAAATTTACTCATCCTGAAAGCAAAAAAAAAAATCCCAAAAAACCCCAAACAAAACCAGAAAAACCAACCTAGAAATTCCTACCTGCCAGCCTTGCAGACTGGTTACCTGCAATCTGAGTAGCCTTGGCTTGTAACTGCTGGTGACACTTTCATTCTAAAGGCTACCAGCATTTGAGCAGCTTCTGTCCTTCAGCAGGATTTCACACAAGTGGCAGATCCTAACTAGAATCTAGCAAGGCTGGACAATATCTGAATTAAATTAGCTCATAGTGCCTGTGTTTAATGCAAAAGCAGAAAGAAAATTGAATACACTTTTATGGAGCTCTGTTGACTCTACAGGAGTGACGAGTAACATTTCTGTTACTAAGACAAACTTGATGCTTATGATGAAGTTAATGGAGTGTAAAGATGCCCTCCTTTCCTCACCTTCGAGAATAAAGCGGTCAGCATATCTTAATGAGGAATATGTTGGCACTGTGAACAGGAAGAACAAGTCTTCACATGACTGTCTCTGAAGCCGAACACTTCTGTAATTTGAAAGTCTCTTCTGAGGCTCTGCTTTGTGCACCAGAGAGCTGTAAACAGCTCTCCAGTTTGTGCTGCATGTTGCTACCTGTAAAAATTGAGTAACAACATGTAACCAGTTTTGCCTACTGCTTCAAGATGGAAGTTCTCTCTACTGACGACTATAACTAGATCTTCTTGCTCTGGATTCCTCTGTGCACTGTTTTTCATTTATTTGTTCTGTTGTCAAACAGCAGCTTGTAAAGTCTTTTCTTTTTTTAATGTTACTGTTGGTATGTTACCTTCTGTGGCTAGTTCTGTCTTGGCTCCTTTGTCTTTTCGTCATGGCCTTCACTTCAGCTACCTCTTAATCTGCATTCCTGCTGCTTGTGTTTGGCATTGTGTTTATTCTTACTGCGTTATCTGTGTTCTCTCTTCTTACCTCACGCTCTGAATTTATCACCCTCATTCCCCTCTAATGCCTGCCCCTTCCATTCTTTTTCTTCAGCAGCAGAAATACCACTCTTGCTTGTATTCACTGGTGGTTTCTAAGAGGCTGTGGAAGCTGATACAGGTTGTTGTAAAGAGTCATAGTAATATTAAATGTCTGTAAGTGACCTGTTCTTTGTTGGAGGAGATTAGTGAAGTGTTACTTCAGTGTAGCATCTGCACATGAACAAAAGTTTGAAATTTGCCTGCCTTCCCTTTCCCCAGTGCTTGCACGTCAGCTTCTCTGGAGCCTTCCTATGTTTTGCGGGCAATCGGAACAGATGAAGACTTGGCCCACTCATCTATAAGGTGCATGGAGTGGTCTTCCCTAATGCTTCCAAATATTTTTCTTTTTTGCTAAAAGTAGGTGGTGGATTTGTTCCACCCCTCCATATGCACGTTATTCTAGTCCTTAATGGTTTTCCTTTGGTTTAGATTTGGCATTGGTCGTTTCACTACAGAGGAAGAAGTAGATTATACAGTGCAGAAGTGCATACAGCATGTTAAGAGGCTGAGGGAAATGAGGTGAGACATCTTCTTATTGAACGTAAAGACTTCTTAAGTGTGATAATCATTTGAAGAGTTGGATTTAGTTGAAAATAATTGTTTGCTTCAAAAATCTGGTGGTGTCTCTGTATATAAGCAAGCAGTGTTGCCAGAGTGGGTAGTGGGCCTGATCTTAACAGTAGTGACAAATTTTTAAAGAAAAAAACCTGGTAACAAACCTTCTCCCAGATCCTGCCTTTGTCAGGGAAAGAATACGAGTAGGGCAAGCACGTAGGGCAGTACCTAGAAGTTTCTAAGCCAGAGATGGTATTACTGAGTTTATCGATAAGTTGTTTTATTTTGGTGAAACTGAAAGACTCCTGACTCATCTGGACAGTGTCGAATGTGAGGGCTCAGTCTCTAAGAGACACAAGTACTTTATGCCTAAAGTGGGAGCAGGAAATGAGGTGGAGCACCTGCCCTCTCACCTCTTGTATTTTGGGCTGAGGACACAGTTGGACTGATTGTCTGAAGTTCACTGACCTCCAGAAAGGGAAGACAGGTAGATAGGTATCTCCTAATTTCTTGTGTAGTTGATGAAATTGTCTGTTTGGTTATTATTGATGTCGTCCTGTGTATTTTAGATAGCCATCATTTTTCTCCTTTCTTTACAGCCCCCTCTGGGAAATGGTGCAGGATGGAATTGACCTCAAAAGCATTAAGTGGACTCAGCACTGAGAAAACATTGCTATCCGTGGACTAGATGTGGATGTGGATTAAAATGCATTTTCTGTACATTCCTGAACAAATTATGCAGCACTTCTGTTTTTTGACACTTGCAATTTGACTGGAAAACTACACTTTCTGATCACAAAGTCTAAGAAGCAAAAAATGAAACTAGTCTTTATCCTGGAGAAAGGCAGGATGATATAACATCCATTGCATTTATATTGACACACAGAAATTTATGCTAAAACAGAATTTATTTGGACATGTATTTGCTAATAAGAAAATGAAATCAGTGTGTTACTCCTGGGCCAGTGGAATCCTGCTGAGAGGTTGTTGCCTCTCAGTGTAAAACATCCCGTGTAGCTGTTCTGTTTGCAGCACAGACCTCTTGCCAGGCCTCCCATTCTTTCTGTTTGAGACGGGCATCCTGCAACAGCAGCTGTTTTTGTGCTGCTCAGATGCATTGTACTGCGAGAAGTTCTCAGATAGGAAGAAGCTTGGCATTTCTAGAGGAAAAGGATGCCTCAGCGTGGCTATGTGCCTTCACTGTTAAGTTGTACGTGCAGTTAAGAACAATTTTTTTTCTGAAACTGAGTATTTTTGGCTCTTTTTCCTTGGTTTTATCTTTTTTTGGGTGATGCTTGTACAGACCAGTGTGTGCTAATCCAAACCACCCTTCTGTGTTACAGAGTTTATGATACAATGATTATGCACTTTGCTGTCCCCTGCACTGTGTTTTTTCCATGCAATTTTTTTCTAAGTAAGGAAAGAAAACTTGAATGACTGGGGGAGGCGGGTAGGCAGAACATGTCAGCTTCAGTTGCAGTATGAGTTTAGTTGGAACGTGAGTGGTGGAGGTGGTGGGGAGAGCAGATAAAGTGCAATGTCTTAATGCAGTCTGGGTTTTTTTCCTCCCGTTGTGATGAGTCCTTTGCTGTTACTCAGAGTTTGCCTATGGGCGGTTGGCTTCTGTCACTTTAGGGAGTCTAGCCCAGTTGAGCCTGGATGTTTTGTCTGGAGATAAGAACATGCGGCTCTGGAGTTTTCTCTGCGCAACAGACTGTACTTCTGCCTGACTAGAGACTTACATGGGAATCCGTTCCCTGCAAATGCTGGGGGAAAGTGTCTGTTAAAAAGGGTTTGATGAGACTAATTCAGTGTTTCTCCTTCTTAACTTTGTTGATCTTTCCAGTACAAAACTTAACCCCGTATTACAAAGTGCCTTTGTTTCAGTTGCATAAGCAGACAGCTCTCGAATTAGTTTTGTTGATTGATGGATGCCGTATTAGCTGCTGAATTTAATATACCCTATAGATAGTACGTCTTCAGTTCTGGATGGTATCTGCCTCGAGGATGAACCATGTAATGTAAAAGCTGAAGCTAAATCTCACAAGGCGGATTGTGTTACAGAAGCTTGTTCTTTTTTTTGTTACCAAGGACAGATTTGGTCATTTGTAATGCAAAGCTAATCCTCAGTTGTTCTATTTGAAATTATTAGCTTTAGTGGTTTTAATATTGTAGGGCTGGCACCTTATATTTCATCACAACATTTTTAAAACTACCATATGCATAAATAGGTTTTAGAGATGGTGTATATACTATTGTATGTACTATTTATCCTTGGGCCATATGTGTTTTCTGGATTAAGCATGTAATAACACTCTCCCAGCATGTTTTCTAACTATATGTTTATGAAGTTGTTACTTTGTGTTTCATGGATAATAAAATATAGATAAGACTTAAACTTGGCTACTGTCAGTCTTTTGGGATCCACCTTTCTGGCTGAACTATGCAGCACAATCGGTAAGTTGCTAAATTGCAGCCTTTCTTTAGAGAACAGAGAAAGATAAATCCCTAAGTTTTCTGTGAACACTGTTAGAAGCTCTTTCTGTCATCAAGTTGACATTTGACTTTTGATGAGTCATTCTTCTCAAACTCAGTGCCTGATCTGAGCTAATTTTTTTAAACTCAAATAGCTTAAATTGTGATTATTTTGAGAAAAGGGACCCCCAAATCATCTCTTATGTGCTAAGATTTAAAATATAAATTCTACTTGTAAAGGTTTTGGCAGCTCATTCACACTGTTAACAAATGTTTGTTTGAAACTGCTTATAGGACAAGATGAGGAGAAACTTATAGTGGAGATACTTTTCCCCGTGACAGAAAGAAGTAATGCCGAGGATGAATGTCTAGTTGTAGACCACTGAATGCAATTAAAGCTTTTTGTATGGGGAAGTAAATTTCTTTGGGAGGAGAATATTTACAAATGGAACTGCCTGTAACTCAGAAGTGAGGGAGCTGTGGGGTTTTGTGGGGTTTTTTTGGTGATTAGTTTGAGCCATCTGCAGGGCATTAAATTAATAATACAAGGTAAGGATACCAGGAAGGTGAGGATTTAGTGTCGCCATTTTGCAAGTGTCATAAAAATTGAACTAGTGTGACAAACAGGAATAAAATAAACTTCCAGTAGTGCAAGATGGTTAGGTAATACACAGGGGAGCAAAAAATTCTCTGTGATGGATTTTAGTGTTTCTAAACGCTGATAGAGCATATCACCTAACTACAAAAATTATTGAATATTTCTTCAGGAAGGATAATACAGAATTAGACAGTTACCTGTTCTGGACTTGAGGAGACAGAGAGGAAGAGGGTCAGTTGACAGATTTGTTGACAGTGTTACACAGCCAGCCATAGACTTAATTTATCATTTTAAAAAATCCCCAATAACATAAACACTATTGCTCCCAACAAAATACTACCTCTTATCTTAGATCTTATATCTGCCTGATTGATTGGCTTGCTGTTCTCTTGTCTGTCTGGTGTGACTTCAGTCATGGTCCAACTGTTTTCAGTCAAATTGTTTCTGCTAAAAACACGGATACGCCGTGCTTTGAAATGATAACAGTTTCCCAAAGCTGAGTCCCAAAAAGTTGGCCTAAGAGATCTCTCCTCCACTAAAGACAGTTCTGATTAAATTTCAGGATGGTGAATAAGGTCCTGCACTGGAAGAAAGCAAATGCCAGGTTTTAAAATGGACAAGCTGAGTGCTTGGAAGAACTGAGCACTCTGACAGCTGATGTATCTTTCTGAAACAGAGTAATAAAAAAAGCCTGGTACAAGATGCTGTTGTAAGAAGAAAAGCTCATACTAATGAGCAAAGTGGTTTTGTGCTGAGTAGGCGTAGTAAAACAAGGTGTTTAATTTAGTTTTAAAAGTAACTATACAGGATCAATAAGGCACATCATAGCTGACTGGCAGATTTTAAGTATAGATAGGAATGAGGAGAGTATTTCTGGAAGGCATCTGTGAGGATTATTTCTGCTGAACATTTTGCTAAATGATCTGGAAACAACTAAGACTTGCAGTTGTCACGTAGTAATCAGAAAGGAAAATACAAAGTAGTATCATTTAGTAAACTGGGTTCATTCATCCAAGCCACATCCTTGTACAGATGAAGGAATAGGATCAGAGGTTGTGTGTACAGAATGGTATCTCTAGGGTGCTGGAGAAGCAAGGAGCCTGAGATTTGGGGTAATGTTTCCAGACTAATGGTGTAGCAAAAGTATAATGCAAGGAGGAAGACATTTTTACTTCAGATGTGGAATCAGCACAATGGGTGCTGGTTCCCTCAAGCTTTACTTTAAAATGTCCTGTGTAAATTTTTTTCCCTAGTTGCGTACCTAGCACCCTACTTCAGTTTTGGTTTAGGTGGAGGAGACAGATAAATTAGCGCTCTCTTAATAGTTTCCTGGTACCTAATAAAGGCAAATCCCATTCTTCCCTGTTTTTCTATGCCTGCCTTCCGCCGGGCACATGTTACAGAGGAGCATACTGGACACTGCTACCAATGATCCCTGTCTTTTAACCTTCTGCCTACCAGTGTTTGCTTTCCAGAGACACTTTTCCCCTTGCTATTGGTACCTAACTGCGTCATGCTGCCAACTCCTCTTTGGTACCCTTGGTGACTTGGCATGCTTCTAATACTAGTCCAGGATTTTGTTCCCTCTCATCCACTCTACAAACAAATCTGCTTCTGTTAATCTTGAGTGAACTAAATATTCTCTCCTCATGAAAATTTGGGTATGGCTGAGAAGACAGTTGGAGACGTGTGGAGGTAATCTGTGTCACAGGCGTCTGTTCCAGACTTTGCTCCAGCTGAGCTGCAGCACAGACCAGAACGCTTGAGGTGCAAGGACACATGCTGGTCTGCAGCAGCTGTCCGGGGCCATCAGGACTTGCTCTCCAGTGTACTTTCATGGAGTCAGTACAGACACAGTCTAGAGGCCTACTGAGGATTATGTAGTTTGGTCCTGTTTTTTTGCTGGTCTGCACAGTAAACGTCACAAGTCTCTCCACCAGAGTATTTCAGCAACAAAAAGCAATGTAGTGACTCATCACATTGCACAAAAGCTGAAAAGTCTTAGTTTTCTTCTGACCTGGGATACTCCAGCACTGCCCTTTGTTATCCTACACCTTCTCTCTGCTGCGGGGTGGCCAGTGCTGCCCAGGAAGTGCTGCAGTGCCACAGAGCAAGGCCCTGAGCTGCAGGTGCTCCTGCTGCCCCTCATGTACCTTGGGCAAGCAGCTCTCCGGGGGGTCTGGTAAGCCTGGCTGTGGATACCTCTGGTGACTCCAATTGCCTGCTTCTCTCGGCTGTGTTGGGGGGTGCACGCTGACAGCTAACCCTGCCTAGTGTCACTAACGCTATAAAAAGATGAATTACTGGATACTACCTACAGCAATCAAGGAGTGATGTGTAAGCAGATGGCACACCTAGCAAGACAAGGAGGTGTTAGCTTGACAGAACTGATAAATTTTCAGGGCAGACATTTTCATACATACTAAATAGAGTACAAAATCTGTAAAACCAGGGATAATAGGGAGAAGATAAACAAGTGTGGGCTGTTTATTGGGAGGGGATGAGGGTGGTAAAGGAGGAGAATTTGAGAGTACAAAGAGAGGATATACAAGGAAACAAATCATGGAGTGGGGGCTATTGTGGTGCCAAGCAGCCCCAGGCCTGATCCCATTGCCTCAGGATAACACACCCATCACACGTTTTGGCCCTGTTTTCTGTTAAGTGGTGAAAAACAACTAAGTTAACTGAATTGTTGAACTCCCAAATTCACTGGAAAATTATTTGCAACGTGAGGTGATGATTTATTTTCATTTGTTTCTCACAGCAGACTATGCAGGTTTTTTTTCATCAAAAATGGATGCTGCTGCAGTACCCATGTCCACTGAAGCGCAGTAACAGAGCATCTCCCAAGAGGTATCTAGCTGTTCTTCAGCTCAGGGCACTGTCTAGTTATTTGTATTGCATGTGTATTTAGTAAAGGACAAATACAGCATGGTGCAGTTACACTCAAAAGGGCAGTGACCCAGGGTAATCTTTTATTTTAATTCTGCAACCTGGTCCTAAGTGAAGAAGTCAGAAACAATTACTCTCCTCAGGGTTCTTTTGTTCGCTGGAAATTCGATGCCTCCTTTCGAGTCCCCATTTCCTCAGCACTAACGCTGTTACACCATCATTAATTTCCAGAAAAAGCATCACACTATCACCGTCTAACTATTGTACTAGAGGCAACTGTACGAATCTTATACTGTGGGTCCGACCTTGCTCTTTTCAGCCTTCTAGCTGTGGTGTTGCATTAAAAAACGAGTGTGCTGACAGGGGAGGCAAAGGACGCTTTTTCACAACAAAACCCACCGCTTCCCGCGCCGACTCAACCCCTCCTGACGTGAGGCGCGACCTCCCGCCCTGCGCCGCGCATGCGCCGTCTGCCCCTGCGCGCGGCCCCGCCCCCGGCTGGGCGGGCGGCAGGAGGTCCTGCGCGCACCGGCGGG